AAAAATACATTCGTTTTATTGATTAAATGCAATGTACCCGAAATTTTTGAGTGTTACTAAATGCACTGGACTAATAAATTAAATTGTTTTTAACGAAAACTACGAATACCTATGCCTGGAAAGTTAGTAGAATACATATCTAATTATTATAAGAAGGGATCTAGATTATAACAACGGATGATACAAGTTAAATAATAATTATTTCATTTAGATTCAATAGTTTAGTAATGAAACGAAAACTGTTAAATTGTTAGAATTTGATAATATTAAATAACATATCTGCGATACTAGAAAACTAAATTTGGGTTTCTTTTTCGAAATCATCAAATTGTGAATTTTATTGAAGGCAGACATAAAAAAAAGCTTGCAATAATAAAGCCTTTTTTGTATTTTGTGTATATTAATGTAGGTAATTAATTTCATTTAAATGGTTTTAAGGATTTTGGCAAAACTCAGAAGGTAGGTACAAATTTATTGAAATCATAAATATTGATTTTGATTAAATTTAATATGAGTAAACTGACAAAAAAATAGGTCACTTGACAAGTAATTTCATACCGGTCAAGGCTAAAATATGCAACCCAACATATACCCCTGTTCATTTTTCGTATACTACTCAAAGAAAAGTTCCGTCAACCTCATATGTAAGTATATTAAGTTACAGTATTTAAATCACTGTTATGAATGTATTGAAAAGTTTATCGACATTACTTAAAAAAGCTTTCCTAACAACTTGCCTATTGTAGCAAAAAAAAAGAAATATGCAGTAACACCCTTCAACGATTAAAAAAAATTGTTGAGATTACCGTTAAAAATAATCACTGTGGTATAAAAGTTACCATTTTACTAAAATAATTGATATTCCAGTTTCTTCCTTATCTAATGGATAAATCAAAAATATCAACCAATGCAATATTATATAAGTAGGTATTTCATATTTAATAAGATTCGTTTACAATTTCTCAGTAATACGCCCCTGGTAAATACCCTGTCTTTTCCCTACATTATCGTACAACGAAATAGGGACGGTGATACGTGCAGCGAACAACTGAGGGATAGAAGAAGCTTAATATCAGGGCTTGGCAAGATCGTTAATCTTAACACTGCCTACACAGAATGTAATTATCCGGTATATAGAATACCTATATTGAGAGACCAAGTTGCATTAAATGTTAGAAGAGAAAGAGAAAACGGAAAAGGGCTGAATGAAATACGCGAGTCCGTGACTGATTCTTTTCGCCTTTTTTACGTTAACGAGCTCTTTGTTTTTCACACCAGAACATGACCGCAATTAGAAAATGGAGTTTTGTAAATTTCCGCAAAAACGAAAGATAAATGAAGCGTTTTATTTAATTGACCTTTGTCCAGAAACGATAAACCCTGCAATCACCTGCAATTTCTGGTAAATAACGAGCTCAGTAGGTATAATTTATAACTAAATTTTGAATTTGTTAATGGTTTTTGAAATAATCGGCTGCGGCAAATAATAAGTGATCATGTACATGACGGTTCCGTTTTTCCTTTTGAGGTACGGAACTGACAAGGTTCACGCGCGCGTGACTAAAAGTAAGACGCGTGCCATAAGAATACATGAATTTTCGTACTATAGGCATAAAATCAATCATCCTATTTTATTTTTCTTTCACAAAAATATTGGCCTTCGTCCCTATCATAAAATAAACAGCTAATAATAAGAAAAATATAATCAGAGCTGATTAGGATCCGCTCTATTACGTAGTGATTGAAACTGCATTATGTTGATTAAAGTACTTAAAAGTAAAAAACACAATATAATCAATAAATAAGTGTAGCGGATATTGTCACCTTCATCTACAAGAAATTTTTTGTATAAGCGTATTCATAAGAATTTCATATACATTTTGCTAGGATTTTACTGCTTAATCGCAATTTTATAATTACTAAATGCCGAGATATTTTTGATTGCTTTTTATATGACTTATAGCCGAAGTTAGCTGCATTGTCTTACTGGAGGGTTGTAACTTTGTATGAGCACAATAATGAATTCCATAATTATGAGGCGTCATTTATGCATCTCTCATTAAATTGCCTCGTTACTTTACCAAAATTTGTCAATTCTACTAAGAAGCTAGTTGATCTTTAATCTAAAATCGAATTAACTAGGGAATGGTAATTGGGGAAAGGAAATGTCTAGCTTGGCGTCGGGGAGAGAGAGGAGTCAATGTTTGCGTTACATAAGATTTTGGAATTTATTTGAAATTAAATAATTATTGGAAATTAACAAATATTTTTTTAATTGGAACCGTAAACTTTCAAGAAATGAGGGAAGGAATAATCAGGCCACGCGTTATAGTCCCGATATCTGGAGGGATGTAGGTTAAATGTTTAGAAACTTTGCGTTACCTACGATAACTTACAGACAGCCTTTTACCCTAGAAAAATTTCTTGACTACGCCAATGGTCTTCACCCCAAGAATAGTCGAACACGCACCTCTTACAGACCGGACAGTTGTGACAGAAAATGTTTTAATTTTTTGCAATAAGCAAAATTGAAAATCACGACATAACAGTGATAAAATGTAAAAAAAAAACTGATTTTCTTCGGGGTACCACCTACTGAAAATAGCTTTTCTGGACATTTTTTTGTACCCAAACTATTTTTTAATTGGCCAAAAATACAAAACTGACTTTTTAAGCCCAGACAATATTTTTCAGTATGCATATTACAGTTTCGATCATATTACATACTGTTTGCAGGCATATTAATTTGTTTAGCGAAATTGTTTAGAAAGTGCAATACATAACTTATTGTAAATTCTGATGAAAATGTAACAGCGATTTTCCTATCTTGAGCTAGACATCGCATTTCTCGAAAATTACATAATCTAGGTCTACCTCTATCCCTCTCAACTCCCGTTTTTGCATCTAATATGTTTTTAAGTAACCCTTCACGGTGAAGGTGTCTTACCTCGCCTATTTCTTATTGACTTCTGTACCGCTCCTCCGTTCTCCCCATTTAACGTATTTGTATATTTATAGCAAATACTGGAAAAGACAAAAATCCAGTGGTTCGTATAAAAGATACCGACAAACAACAAATATATTGTTTTTAATAAAACAAAGATATAATTGTAAATAATTCGAACAATAATAGATGATAAATAGAAAATATTTTTTTGCAAACAACCTCCAATGTAATTAATATGGTTTACAAACAAACCAAATTATTGACTATTTTTTTTATTTAAAAGGTTAAAACTGATTAGTTTATGTTAGAAGATTTATATAAAAAAAGAACGATTATCCTTACTAAGCAAATTCACTGTTATGAATGTATTGAAAAGTTTATCGACATTACTTAAAAAAGCTTTCCTAACAACTTGCCTATTGTAGCAAAAAAAAAGAAATATGCAGTAACACCCTTCAACGATTAAAAAAAATTGTTGAGATTACCGTTAAAAATAATCACTGTGGTATAAAAGTTACCATTTTACTAAAATAATTGATATTCCAGTTTCTTCCTTATCTAATGGATAAATCAAAAATATCAACCAATGCAATATTATATAAGTAGGTATTTCATATTTAATAAGATTCGTTTACAATTTCTCAGTAATACGCCCCTGGTAAATACCCTGTCTTTTCCCTACATTATCGTACAACGAAATAGGGACGGTGATACGTGCAGCGAACAACTGAGGGATAGAAGAAGCTTAATATCAGGGCTTGGCAAGATCGTTAATCTTAACACTGCCTACACAGAATGTAATTATCCGGTATATAGAATACCTATATTGAGAGACCAAGTTGCATTAAATGTTAGAAGAGAAAGAGAAAACGGAAAAGGGCTGAATGAAATACGCGAGTCCGTGACTGATTCTTTTCGCCTTTTTTACGTTAACGAGCTCTTTGTTTTTCACACCAGAACATGACCGCAATTAGAAAATGGAGTTTTGTAAATTTCCGCAAAAACGAAAGATAAATGAAGCGTTTTATTTAATTGACCTTTGTCCAGAAACGATAAACCCTGCAATCACCTGCAATTTCTGGTAAATAACGAGCTCAGTAGGTATAATTTATAACTAAATTTTGAATTTGTTAATGGTTTTTGAAATAATCGGCTGCGGCAAATAATAAGTGATCATGTACATGACGGTTCCGTTTTTCCTTTTGAGGTACGGAACTGACAAGGTTCACGCGCGCGTGACTAAAAGTAAGACGCGTGCCATAAGAATACATGAATTTTCGTACTATAGGCATAAAATCAATCATCCTATTTTATTTTTCTTTCACAAAAATATTGGCCTTCGTCCCTATCATAAAATAAACAGCTAATAATAAGAAAAATATAATCAGAGCTGATTAGGATCCGCTCTATTACGTAGTGATTGAAACTGCATTATGTTGATTAAAGTACTTAAAAGTAAAAAACACAATATAATCAATAAATAAGTGTAGCGGATATTGTCACCTTCATCTACAAGAAATTTTTTGTATAAGCGTATTCATAAGAATTTCATATACATTTTGCTAGGATTTTACTGCTTAATCGCAATTTTATAATTACTAAATGCCGAGATATTTTTGATTGCTTTTTATATGACTTATAGCCGAAGTTAGCTGCATTGTCTTACTGGAGGGTTGTAACTTTGTATGAGCACAATAATGAATTCCATAATTATGAGGCGTCATTTATGCATCTCTCATTAAATTGCCTCGTTACTTTACCAAAATTTGTCAATTCTACTAAGAAGCTAGTTGATCTTTAATCTAAAATCGAATTAACTAGGGAATGGTAATTGGGGAAAGGAAATGTCTAGCTTGGCGTCGGGGAGAGAGAGGAGTCAATGTTTGCGTTACATAAGATTTTGGAATTTATTTGAAATTAAATAATTATTGGAAATTAACAAATATTTTTTTAATTGGAACCGTAAACTTTCAAGAAATGAGGGAAGGAATAATCAGGCCACGCGTTATAGTCCCGATATCTGGAGGGATGTAGGTTAAATGTTTAGAAACTTTGCGTTACCTACGATAACTTACAGACAGCCTTTTACCCTAGAAAAATTTCTTGACTACGCCAATGGTCTTCACCCCAAGAATAGTCGAACACGCACCTCTTACAGACCGGACAGTTGTGACAGAAAATGTTTTAATTTTTTGCAATAAGCAAAATTGAAAATCACGACATAACAGTGATAAAATGTAAAAAAAAAACTGATTTTCTTCGGGGTACCACCTACTGAAAATAGCTTTTCTGGACATTTTTTTGTACCCAAACTATTTTTTAATTGGCCAAAAATACAAAACTGACTTTTTAAGCCCAGACAATATTTTTCAGTATGCATATTACAGTTTCGATCATATTACATACTGTTTGCAGGCATATTAATTTGTTTAGCGAAATTGTTTAGAAAGTGCAATACATAACTTATTGTAAATTCTGATGAAAATGTAACAGCGATTTTCCTATCTTGAGCTAGACATCGCATTTCTCGAAAATTACATAATCTAGGTCTACCTCTATCCCTCTCAACTCCCGTTTTTGCATCTAATATGTTTTTAAGTAACCCTTCACGGTGAAGGTGTCTTACCTCGCCTATTTCTTATTGACTTCTGTACCGCTCCTCCGTTCTCCCCATTTAACGTATTTGTATATTTATAGCAAATACTGGAAAAGACAAAAATCCAGTGGTTCGTATAAAAGATACCGACAAACAACAAATATATTGTTTTTAATAAAACAAAGATATAATTGTAAATAATTCGAACAATAATAGATGATAAATAGAAAATATTTTTTTGCAAACAACCTCCAATGTAATTAATATGGTTTACAAACAAACCAAATTATTGACTATTTTTTTTATTTAAAAGGTTAAAACTGATTAGTTTATGTTAGAAGATTTATATAAAAAAAGAACGATTATCCTTACTAAGCAAATTATGTAAATAGTTACAAGACCGACTTCAGTATATGCAACCCATTAGTAGAATGATAGAGTGTATTAATAATTGCCTAACGGTAAGGGACAGCTCAATTTAAATTAAACGGCGCTTATTTATATTTAAAACGATAAATAAAAGAGAAATACGTAAAAATATATATCCTACGAATGTACTAATTAAACCGAGGTTTTACCTTTTCCATCAGAAATTTAAAAATTACTAGAATTCCATCAATTTACTTGACCTAACATAGTTATGAAGAAAAAAAGTGTTGTACATCAGAATGATATGCTTCATTATCTTCCTTTTATCTAATTTTAGTACAAAAGTGATCATTATTTGGTTTTCATAAAGAAACGGGTATCTTTAATTAAATGTATGCAAAAAATATTTCATATGAAACTCTCAATTCGCTACTTACACAAGTTTTATTTATCATCAAATGCTATTCGATAAACATAACGTCTATTATAAAATAAACTATAACACAGAATTCGTCATTTTTCTTATTCGGCAAAGTATCACAGTTTTCTTTATAGAAAATAAACATAACAAAATCATTTGGCACATACTACTTTCATAAATACATTCGTGAAAAGCACAACAATATAGTAACAAAGGTTTAAAAATTTGTAAAAATATATTGCACCAAAATTTTCACACAACAATTACGTGGATAACGACGTCGCGACGCAGGAACTATTACAATTAGGGCGCTATAAACGGAAATAGGTACAAGTGAAATCCATTATACTTTAGCAAGCAGATAAAGCTTTATGTCTACCAGGACACAATAGAAATGTTACAATATTATAAAATATAATATGTAATGTGTTGTGTGTAATTAATAAAAATATAATAANTGAAGAAATTTTATTTTTTGAATAATATTACGACTCACCTCGTAACTTGTTGCAAAGATAGCTAAAAGCGGACACTTAAACAGATAACAGGAATGCAAGAGCATTTTCGGAGGGTCAGTGCTATTATGGCATTTTACCAGCACCTTTAATAGATCAATTTGCTCTCCTTGGTGTGTCATTTCAGTCTCATATTCAGAAATGCTGCTGGAACCAGAAGAACTTTCTGCACTCGAGGTTTGAGACATAAAGCTTATACTGGAATAACCCTGATCAACAGGAGCAATGCAATTATCGATGGTTTTTCGTACCCCAATTCGAGATAAGAAAAAATTTCTTGAATTCCTTTCCCTCATGAGGGACGTCTTCGATTCTTCTACTTTTATGTCATTAAAAAGAGCGTGCTGTAAGTGTTCTGATAAAGCAGTGTTTTTAAACTTTACACATACTTTAGATATTTGGTTCTCAGGATAGTTAAAGTATTGCACGAAAATAAGAAACGCTAGCCAATGATTGTTTTCAGCCAGTTTTACAAGTATTTGTTCAGGATATTTTGTCTCGTGATATTTAGCAAAGTTTATAAGCACCTTATACTTTTTTAAAATATCCACAAAGTTGTAAACGTTAAAGCATTCCATTAAGTTAATTATATCGGAGCTATACAAGTTTTCGATGTCTTTGATAACATCTTCTGGTGTAAGACTGAAAAGAAGCCGTCCTTTTGAATCGAATTCCAAGTCCAATAAGTTGGCTATATGTATGTGATTTCGTAATTTGTAACAATCTTCACCAATCATTCTTAAAAAAGCTATACAAGTAGCAGTTAATTTTGGTTTATTGTAATTTTTATAAGCGAATTTTTCGATCTTTCTGAGAACTTCTTCATTGGCATTGGACGATGTGTAAAAACTTAAAGCAGCAATGCTGGGTCTTTCTTGGCGTATATACGTTAAGAAATTAATTTTTTTTTTGTAAGTGTAATCAAGTAAAGAAGTATGAGAAGTGAATGTAGGAAATGACGAGTCATTTGAAAAACGAAAGTTAAAAACATTTTTAACATCCACATTGGCATGTTTTTCTAAGAGATCGTAAATCGTTAAAGTAGTACTTGTTTCTGTATTAATTTCTGCAACTAATTTTCTAACGACTGGTAACTTTTCGACTGCCTTTTCCAAGAATTTAAGATCTATTTCAAAATTGTGAAGATATTCTGATCCTTTTCCTTTAATTGGTAACAATAAATTCTTATCGTTGAATAATACTAGGGAAAGGAATATTAAAGGATTTTCAATAAAATAAGAATGTAAATCACCACCAGACAAAAGTTTAGCAAAATCAAAAATATTTTTAATAAAATTATTATCGTTTCTAAAATTGGTTGCTAAATGCTTTGTACTAATAATTATGTTTAAATGTTCCGAATTAAAATTATTATAATCAAAACATTGTGTACCTATTTGATTTAGAACTACGTTAAGAGGAATGTAATATTTATTTTTTATACAATGCTTAGTAAATGAATTCAAAAAATGACCAATCTGATTTTTCTTCAATAAATCATACAATTCTGAAATGCCAGTCGTGTTAATAATTCGTCGAATTAAATAAACCACATCATTTACTTCTTTTGAGCAAAACATGCCAAATTTACACAATTCATTCAGTACAAAATCTCTAAGTTCATCTTCTATACAAGTGCTGTTTTCACATAATAAATCTACCATTTCTTTACTGATTTCGTAACTTTTAAATAATTCTTTTAAGACAGCTTTTTGGTCAATGGTTAGATTTTCTAATTCACAGTCTATGTCTTGATTCTCAGAAAAACTCAAATCAATCCACAATTTCAATAAACTTTTGTTGTTATTTTTTAATAAAATTATTCCTAGTTTTAAAATAAAGACTATACTTTATTTAAGTCCATTTTATATTTTAATGACATGATCTGTGACTAACAACTTGTTTTGAAGAAATTTTATTTTTTGAATAATATTACGACTCACCTCGTAACTTGTTGCAAAGATAGCTAAAAGCGGACACTTAAACAGATAACAGGAATGCAAGAGCATTTTCGGAGGGTCAGTGCTATTATGGCATTTTACCAGCACCTTTAATAGATCAATTTGCTCTCCTTGGTGTGTCATTTCAGTCTCATATTCAGAAATGCTGCTGGAACCAGAAGAACTTTCTGCACTCGAGGTTTGAGACATAAAGCTTATACTGGAATAACCCTGATCAACAGGAGCAATGCAATTATCGATGGTTTTTCGTACCCCAATTCGAGATAAGAAAAAATTTCTTGAATTCCTTTCCCTCATGAGGGACGTCTTCGATTCTTCTACTTTTATGTCATTAAAAAGAGCGTGCTGTAAGTGTTCTGATAAAGCAGTGTTTTTAAACTTTACACATACTTTAGATATTTGGTTCTCAGGATAGTTAAAGTATTGCACGAAAATAAGAAACGCTAGCCAATGATTGTTTTCAGCCAGTTTTACAAGTATTTGTTCAGGATATTTTGTCTCGTGATATTTAGCAAAGTTTATAAGCACCTTATACTTTTTTAAAATATCCACAAAGTTGTAAACGTTAAAGCATTCCATTAAGTTAATTATATCGGAGCTATACAAGTTTTCGATGTCTTTGATAACATCTTCTGGTGTAAGACTGAAAAGAAGCCGTCCTTTTGAATCGAATTCCAAGTCCAATAAGTTGGCTATATGTATGTGATTTCGTAATTTGTAACAATCTTCACCAATCATTCTTAAAAAAGCTATACAAGTAGCAGTTAATTTTGGTTTATTGTAATTTTTATAAGCGAATTTTTCGATCTTTCTGAGAACTTCTTCATTGGCATTGGACGATGTGTAAAAACTTAAAGCAGCAATGCTGGGTCTTTCTTGGCGTATATACGTTAAGAAATTAATTTTTTTTTTGTAAGTGTAATCAAGTAAAGAAGTATGAGAAGTGAATGTAGGAAATGACGAGTCATTTGAAAAACGAAAGTTAAAAACATTTTTAACATCCACATTGGCATGTTTTTCTAAGAGATCGTAAATCGTTAAAGTAGTACTTGTTTCTGTATTAATTTCTGCAACTAATTTTCTAACGACTGGTAACTTTTCGACTGCCTTTTCCAAGAATTTAAGATCTATTTCAAAATTGTGAAGATATTCTGATCCTTTTCCTTTAATTGGTAACAATAAATTCTTATCGTTGAATAATACTAGGGAAAGGAATATTAAAGGATTTTCAATAAAATAAGAATGTAAATCACCACCAGACAAAAGTTTAGCAAAATCAAAAATATTTTTAATAAAATTATTATCGTNAAAAATATTTCATATGAAACTCTCAATTCGCTACTTACACAAGTTTTATTTATCATCAAATGCTATTCGATAAACATAACGTCTATTATAAAATAAACTATAACACAGAATTCGTCATTTTTCTTATTCGGCAAAGTATCACAGTTTTCTTTATAGAAAATAAACATAACAAAATCATTTGGCACATACTACTTTCATAAATACATTCGTGAAAAGCACAACAATATAGTAACAAAGGTTTAAAAATTTGTAAAAATATATTGCACCAAAATTTTCACACAACAATTACGTGGATAACGACGTCGCGACGCAGGAACTATTACAATTAGGGCGCTATAAACGGAAATAGGTACAAGTGAAATCCATTATACTTTAGCAAGCAGATAAAGCTTTATGTCTACCAGGACACAATAGAAATGTTACAATATTATAAAATATAATATGTAATGTGAACTCTACATACAATTACACATATCGAATATGTCCAATTTGTTTCAGATTCTATCATACCGCTGTCTTATTAATCAGCATTCAGTCATATACTTAGTGCTATTATTCTAAGAAAATTGAACATTTTTGCTAACATTATTAGTTAACATTTGGCGCTTTTATTTAGTCTTGTATTATTTTTAATAAAATTCGTTACCTGTCTAACTTTTTTTAGGCACCTAGAACCTAGACGATATTATCTAATAATGATAACAATAATCAGATTTGTTTAGTTTTGCAATTAACATTTTCTGAAGTAACTATTCTCCTATTCAATAAATCTGTACTCTATAGGTATAGTATTTTCTGTAATATCCAAGTAACTGTCTCTTTTAAATTCATATGGTTATCTAAATGCTATCGAGATACTTAGAAACGGCCCTTCTTAATGGTTTATTCTACCTCACCTTTTCCATATGAATGAAAGTCATGAATTTAATAGTTATCTCCATTTAAGTATAAATAAAGCAGTGTAATAACAAAAAAAATCTATTAAGAGTAAATGTAAATTAAAATCCTTACTAAATAACATTCGTGCATAAAATTTTGGGAAAAATAGTACAAAATTATTTTTATCTTTGGTAAAGTGCCGTTACCTAGTTTTGTCTACTACCTAGATTCTAAACAGTCAGGTAAACTACCTGACACTACCAAGAATTGACTGAAATTGAACAATTGCAAACGGTATTCAGGACCATTTTCATTATGTTTGCTAAGAAGACAGCAGGTGAGTAACGTGCAAGGCTACTTTCTTCAAGGGTAGGTATACGGGGTAAACAATCAAGTAAGCCATACCCTTATGGAGACAGGTACACTTTAAACAAATACCATCGCGTGAATGTATACTATCTTAGATGGAGCAATACAAAGCAAATCTACTGTATTTACAAACAAAAATTGTTAAGTTAGATAAATCATAAATATGATTAGGAGACTTAATCGAATACATTGACTAAGTACCTAGGTAGGTTATGTTATCTCTATTTTATGAAATGGAATGGGTTAATATTTTTTACTCACTAACCATCAAATGTCGTGGAAACAGATATGTTTCTGAACGATATTTTTTGTCTCGAACAGAAATGCGTTAGGTAAATAAAAACAGGTTCACAACAAGCGATAAACACAACATTGATGGCAAAAAGCTACTGATAAAAATGTCCTAGCTCTACTATAGAGTATAGAATATCATTAAGTTGGAGTTTTTACGGACACGTCATTGTTATTAAAAACGTCTCATTTTAATTACCTATTCAAATATTGCACGATTTTAACACAAAGGTTTTATTAAAACTATATCACGGACACATACGGACACCCACCCACAACTATCGTAAGTAGGTATATAGCACCTATGCATGTATGCATGTACACATGTCAACTATAATTGAGTTGGTACCTACTAATTGTTTATTATTATGTTAGATTAGACTATAAAATAAATGCATTAAAAATAACACGACTTCTACTTGGGGCTTTCTGTTCTTAATTATTTCACTGATTAATAAAAAATTCCGTATCCACGTATATCGACAGCTCGCTATAGTTTACGTAATAATTACAGGCAGCTATAATTAATGCAAGTTAATATATCGTAAAAGGTAATAACTAAAACAATCACTCCGCAATATAGGTGCAATTAGAGAAAATGTTTTATCTATTAAGTATAGGTACAGTACAATAACATTTTCGAAATAAAAAACATCTCAAAGCGTTTTTTTTCTCTACGATGTTTGATTCGTATATAATTATAAAATGAGATTTGCATCAATTGTTATTAACTGTGCCTATTTTTTGACGTATTCAACATCCAAAGGTTATTTGATTCTCTTCAAAAGTTAATTAGAATTTACC